GGCAGTGATGCTGCCCTGCACAGCTGGCCCTGCACAGCTGGCCCTGCACAGCTGCAGTCCTGCCCAGGGCAGCGATGCTGCCCTGCACAGCTGGCCCTGCACAGCTGGCCCTGCACAGCTGCAGTCCTGCACAGGGCAGTGATGCTGCCCTGCACAGCTGCCCTGCACAGCTGCTGTCCTGCCCAGGGCAGTGATGCTGCCCTGCACAGCTGGCCCTGCACAGCTGCTGCCATTCAGCTGCACCAGTGCCACCTGCACGGGCAGGACAGGCCAGCACAGCCACAGCAGCCCCTGCTCCCCTCTCTCACCTGCTCAGTGCCCTCCATCAGCAGGTACCACCCATCCTGTGAGCCCCATCCTGCTGCATCCCCCTCCTGTCACAGCATCCCTGAGCTGCATGCACAGAGCTGCATGCCCACGGCTGCATGCCCACGGCTGCATGCCCACGGGTGCCCGCTGCCGTGCTGGCAGCGCCGTCGGGAGCCCCGGGCGATGCCCCAGCCCCGCGGCGATGCCCGGGCTGCCGCCGCCTACCTGCAGGGCCCGAGGGGATCGTCCATGGCTGTGCCAGGCGCCCGGGGCCGGGCACGATCGCCGAGGCCGCCGCTCCCGGCCCGAGCTGCGCCTTTTGCCCTCTCGCAGCTCAAAATGGAGGCACATGCGGGCTGCCCGAGCTGCCGAGCCTGCACTGAGCTTGTGCTGTGACCTAAGCCCGCACGCAGAACGCACAAACTTCGCCCTCGGACCGGCGGCACTGAGCATGTGCTATGACCCTCCCTCCCTCATCCTCCTCCCTCCTTCCTCCTCCTCCTCCTCCCTCCGGAACGGCTCCGCACGCCGCCGCTGCTCCGGCAGCGAATACGGCAGCGTAAATACAGCGGGGATCCGCAAAAACAGCCGGGGATACTGAATAAATACAGAGGAGATCTGGAAACACAGCGGGGATCTGCTGACAAATACAGCCGGGATCCGCAAAACCAGCCAGGAATCCACAAATAAATACAGCCGGGGATCTGCTGATAAATACAGTCCGGGATCCATCAATAAATACAGCGGGGATCCGCAAATAAATACAGAGGGAATCTGGAAATACAGCCAGGGATCTGCTGATAAATACAGCCCGGGATCCATCAATAAATACAGCGACGAGCCGTGAATAAATACAGAGGGGATCTGGAAATAAATATAGCTGGGGATCTGCTGATAAATACAGCAGAGATCCGCAAAAACAGCCGGGGATCTGCTGATAAATACAGCCCAGGATCCATGAATAAATACAACAGGGATCTGTAAATAAATACAGCCCAGGATTCTCTAGTACAGCTGGAGATCCTCTGATAAATACAGCGGGGATCTGTAAATAAATACAGTGGGGATCTGCCAATAAATGCAGAGAGGATCCGGGAACAGAGCCAGGGATCCACTGATAAATTCAGCCAGGATCTGCGAGGCACATAGTATTCTCCCATCTAAAGAATATTCTTCTCCCATTTATGGAATATTCTTCTCCCATTTAAGGAATATTCTTCTCCCATTTAGGGAATATTCTTCTCCCATTTATGGAATATTATTCTTTGGCACCCGAGGAGCCCGGCTTGATTCTCCCTGCCTGACCCTCCTGCACCAGCCTGCATCTCTGACCCTATTGATGTGCTCTTAGGTACCCATTTACATGAAGGCAATGTCCCCTCCAGCACACACAGCTTTAATTGGGACACATCCCTCTGTTCTCCAGTTTCCGAGATGCCTCCACCTACCATGAGGCCAAAGAAGGATAAAAAGTTCCCCAAATATTGTATTTTGAAATACAGGGTAAGCAAAGCAGATCAGGCCCCAGAAAAATCCTTCATTTTCTTGTAACAATCCCGTGAGGAATGTTCATTGTAGCAGGGGTGGATACACAATTTCCTGGTGTATCACAAGTTTCAAACGGCACAGAAAGGACAAAATAACCTTTCCTGGAGCTCTGAGTCCTCCAACAACAAAAGGGTCTCATCCTACACATCCTCCCCAGTGCTGGGGATGTTTCTGCACTCTGGGGTTTTTCTATTTATTTTGCAAACACAAACGCACAAAAATAGCTTCTTTGCAAACACAAACACACTAAAATAGACCCCAAACATGCTGAGCTGCATCTGAGAGTGCAGCAGAAGTTTCTGAGCATCCCATGGTGAGCCCAGAATGTCTCAGGCAGAAATCCCTTGCACACACAGTGCCCAGTTTGGGATTGTTGGGGTCCCACCCCACATTGCCCCAGCAGGGCTCACTGCAGCCTTCAGAGCCTTTGTTATAACAATTTCACACGACAAGGGGTGCTTCTCACCCTCCA